ATCCTGTTCTTGCTCAGGCCGATTTGGCAGCGCTGCACGAGCTTTGTACACCTTGTGGTTTTGGTTGTAATGGAGCTCAAGCTGACCCAGGCAGGAGAGCGTCAACACTTGGTCCACTTCGGTCATGGCCTCCAAGATCAGACTGGCTGGAAGGTCGGGGCCAAGTACTTTGCGGAGGTGTACACCCAATGCACTGTGCTCAGGGTGCAAAAAGATCAAGAGGGCCGGAAAGTGTTGGTGCAGTAGCTCTGCCAGTGCTGCCACCTGGTCCACCTGTGTTGCCTTCGATAGCTGCTGCTGCAACGTCGAAAGTCGTTCCTTCTCTTCATCCAGGTTGGCTTGTATACCAGCTCGCATGTCGTCTGACACAAAAGCCAAGAATGCTGTGGTTGCCTGAATTTTCTTTTGCAGCTCGGCCACCTCCTCATGAATGGATACAACTTGATCTGCGCTGCTCTGCGTGATGCTGCTTGCATATTCTTTGCATAAGGTCACCACGGAGAGCGTCTTGGCCTGCCAGTCGATCATATCCTGCAGCTGCTGCAACAGGGCTTGCGACTCGTGCAGCACAAACGCCAGGTACCAGTCCTGATGCTCATAATCGTGTTCTGCTCTCCAGTCTGCGAGCTGCTCCAGCCCATTCTGTTTGGGCGAGCTGAGGTGTTCGTGAGCCTGGCACAGCCGCTCCCACGCCTCGGGTAACGACTTGGCCGAAAGTGGTGCGCTCACATCCGAGCATTGTGCGCGTTGCCGTAACGTGTCCACGCGATGCATTGTGTCAGTGTCGGTGGTACCCGCCCTTGCCACGGCGTCCAGAGCATCAATCAATGCCAGCACCCGCCGCTTGATATTGGTATCAGTGCTGGTAAGCCGTTCTTGGCGCTCGGGTTCCACATTGTGCAGCATGACGAGTTTGCCCAGAGCTGCTGCAAAGTCGGTGGGTGGCGTCTCAAACGCAGTCGTGGGCGCGGTGGCTGGAGCGGGACATTTTGCCAAGATGTTCTGGAGTTCAAGATATACTGGTTGGAGCTCAATCTGCTCTGTTAGACTTTGCATCTTTTCAAGTACCGATTCTAGATTGTCAATGTTGGGGTCCAGCTGGCTGAGGCAGCCCTGTAGCGCTTTGGGAACTTGCACTGCTTGGTCGAGGACGCCGAGGGCGCGGGTGATGGTCGCTTTGAAGGCAGGCCAGTTCAAGGCAGGAAACACTGGTGGAGCTTCATCGATGGTGTTCTGGATCTTCGTAACCATTGCTGCGAGATTAGAGTTTCGCTTGATGGCACCGCTGATAAAGGCATCGAGGTGCGGGAGGGGGTGAGTGGTGGATTGCTCGGGCAGGAGCGGTCTGAGCCAGCCTTCCACCGACACCACAACAGCGGCCGTCGTCTATAGGGGGATGTGGTTGAGGGGAGGTTGAGATAGGGATGGAGTGGGGAGCAAAGATTGTAATTGGAAAAGGAAGAGCGGAGAGGTGTGTACCTCAAGGGACGGTGCAGGACTGGGCAAGGGCGGCAGCCAGGCAAATAGCTGTGCAAGGCGAGCCTCGTGGGCAGCGAAGACGGGCTCCAGCCTGTTGGCATGCCCACGTCGACGTCCAGCATCGAAGGCCGTCTCGCCTCTCTGAGAACATATTCAGGGGAGGGACGAGGTGTGGTAAGAGTTGAGCGATGTGCATGTGTTTTTTTAAAATGAAAGCCAGTGCAACGATGCACATGATTAAGCAGAAGACGTTTAACGAGTAAGCGGGGAACAGATC